GTCCAGACTATCGCGCTGAGCCGACAAACAGCTGATCAGCTGTTTGTCGGCTCAACGCGGCAGCCATGTAAATTTAAATTAAGCGGCGATTATTTAAATCGCCGCTTCATTTTCCTATGCCGGGTAGTCTAATCTACATGCCTCTGTCGCCAGAGGCATGTAGTCTAGACGTACCCTAATGGATTCCATCTTGCTGCAACTAGTTCCTATGGAGAGTGAAGAGAAACTAGTTTCTCCGCAGCTGTTCCATACTGGGAGAACCTCCCCACCACCTTCATCTCCTCTACAGCTTCCAGTGTCAGGAGGGGGGAGGAGAGGATGCAGGAAGCCAGCATGTGACTCAGATGAGCTCAGTGAATGTGTGGGAGAGCTGGAAAGCCAGGGCATGGCTCAGCTGGGATGGGAGCTGTGGGCTGCAGTGGGGAGAGGGCAATGAGAAGCTAGGTGCAAGGGACTGGGGAGGGGATAGGGCTGGCAGTAGGGAGGCCAGAAATGACCTCCCCTTGTCCAGCAAAACTCCTTATCGAGGATCAATAAGGTCCCAAAGGTTCTGGACCAGGGAGGTCCAACCTGTAGCAGAACCTATTTGGGCTGTTCATGTGCTTTCTTCATTACATGCCACATTAGGCAGCTATACAGAGCTGTGTGGCTAAACTGCCTTCAGTTCCTTCTCTACCATAGAGCTTGTCTGTGGAAACTTTGAAGTAGAGGGGAGGAAAGTAGGTAGTGGAGCACATTTATGGACACATCTCTTGAAGAACCTCAGTTACTGCACTGAATAACCTTCTCTTCTTCTTCGAGTAGCATTCCTATGGGTAGAGACCTGCAAATCTGCAGATATGTTTTATATTGCAAGTATCTACATCCGTGAATGCAGATAGTCGCAGTTCATTTTTATGGATATGGACAAATACACATTTTGTATCTGCACAGTGCTCTACGTACGGGTGCTTCCACTTTAGGTGACTGTTGAACAGTGCTTCTTGCTGGAAAGATGTGGTTTTTACTGATAAAAACAGTTAGTCCCAGTGTCGCATCAGATGCTAGTCCCGAGGAACTGTGTACCAATATGTGAATTTGTGAGCAGATGTTCAGGTTGCTGCCCTGAAAATGTCTGATCAGTAGGGTTACCAGATGGTTTGAAAAAAATTGCAGACACCCTTGATCTCAGATCGGGGGTGAGGAGAACTGGCTGGGAGGGAGTCGGGGGAATGGGGCTGGCCGGGGGAAAGCACATCAGATGCTAGTCCCGAGGAACTGTGTACCAATATGTGAATTTGTGAGCAGATGTTCAGGTTGCTGCCCTGAAAATGTCTGATCAGTAGGGTTACCAGATGGTTTGAAAAAAATTGCAGACACCCTTGATCTCAGATCGGGGGTGAGGAGAACTGGCTGGGAGGGAGTCGGGGGAATGGGGCTGGCCGGGGGAAAGCAGGGCTAGCCT